AATGGTACTATAAAAACAAGCAACTCTATTAGCAGTAACTTTGGAGTATTGATGACAGGTTTAAATAATGTGTTAAGTGTTAAACAGGTTTAACCCATTAAAACTTCCTTTCATACCATGTACAATACTTTACGAGCTTTAAAACTTTCCAACGAACAATTTAACTTCCTCGAGACCTACAACATATTGAAATTTATATTATCTTTATCTTAAATATGCATGTATACAAAAGCTCAAGGGATAAATAATTATATGTTTCTAAACTATGCAACCTTTATATTTTTACCACTAGATAATGAATGAAAGCGTACATTTATTTAATTTTAACTTGTCAAGAAGAAATTAGTTTTCAAAGTTGAAGTTTCTGGTTTAAATTCCCTGCCTAAAGAAAGATATTTTAAAATAATTACGTTTTCACTTTAAATGAAGAGAGGGGGTGGGGTTTATTTATCAAAAAATACACATATCATGAAAAGGTAAAAACATGAGAATTTTTTTTTAAAAAATGCACCCACGACATCTATGATCATCTTGTATTTATCTAAGTAAAACATTACATCTTTTCATTAATGCTCAGTAATATATTGCGATGAAGTGGAGAGATATTTTACCAGCGAAAGTAGCATAATTACGAGGGGTGATCAAAAAGTTCGCGAACTATCTCTATATCTACAACACCACAATTCAGATTAAAATGAAATTCGGTACACACATAGCAATACACAAGATCTATAAATAGCATATGCTGAATTAAGTTTTTCTCCTTGTTTGTGACGTCACAATTTCAAAATGACGTCACTATGTAGGTCACTTGTGACGAAAAATGGTTGTCTCAGTCGAACTCCTTCAACAATATATTGTATATCTTAGAAATCCCTCTGCAGTATCATATAATTTGTACACAAATTATTGAGATAAATGAGTTCCTATAAATTCAATTAATGATTGGATTGATCGTTTTAGTGAAGGAAGGCAGATGGTTAAAAATGATACTTGTCATCTTGCCCTGTGAATGCAAGTTTGAAAAGATATGTATTTTTAATTAAGAAATTTGCTATCAAAGACCTCCAATTAACACTTTGAAATAAAGTTGAATATTTGAACAATAATATAATTATTAAATACCTAAGATATCGTTTACTTTAGATTTTAAATATGTAGGACTCCAAGGTGCGATGGGACTCCAAAGTCCGATGGTCACGCCAAAGTCCGATGGTCTGCACCAAACCCCGATGGTTTGACACGCCAAAGTCCGATGGCGCAGAAAACAATCAACGTCTATGACGTCATAGTAGTGCTGCGCAAAAATGCGATACCGCGCCATGCCAAGCCCGATTTCTTTAAAAAAAAACAACAAATAAATATTAAATGCAAAGATTAACCTTAATCTTTTAGATATAGGTGCGAGACTAACACTTATCAGTCGAAAAATGTGTTAAAACTAGATATCTTGGATGAGTGCAGGACTAACCCAAATCAGTCAAATTGTGTGCAAGGACTAACCATAAAATCTCTCGGGGAAACATATTTGTGTTCAAGAACTAACCCTTATCAGTCGAATAGTCTACAAAGACTAGCCCTAATAGCTCTGGTAGGCGAAAACTAAGCAATATCAGTAAAGTGTATGTGAGACGAATACTGAATCAATGGATTTTGAATGCAGGACAACGTCATGACGTCGGACTATTGTGACGTCATAAACGTTAACTGTACCTCCGCACCATCGGGCTTTGGCGTGTCAGACCATCGCACTTTAGCGTCGCGCGTCTCATAGGAAACGAGCCATCGGACTTTTGAGTGTTCATCGGACTTTGGCGTCCGTAAAGACAGCGAGCCATCAGGGTTTGGCGCAGACCATCGGGGTTTGGCGAGACCATCGGACTTTGGCGTCACCATTGGACTTTGGAGTTTTACAAACATATTAGATATGATGAAAAGGAGGCATCCATTCTCTATCCACCTTGAATAAAGGTCTCTCCCGAGGCAGAAGATATGTGTTTTAATGGTCGCCATGCTTATTTTAGGAAAGAATATTCTTATCCACCCATTCCTTTGCCAAGATATGACCATTTCTGACGAATGAACTGTTCTTGTCATAAAAATTAACTCACATGGAAAGAAACATAAAACTCAGAAAAATCTTTCAACTTTTGTGACAGAACGCTACAGAGGGGGTCACGTGACCGCCAATATCACGTGATTCACGCATGCGCAGAACGGTGGTTGATGTGCATTAAAATCGGGGAGGATTAATTTAAAATATAACCAACATTGACACCACATATTGTTTCTTTTATAGAAGTTATTCAATTAGTTCGCGAACTTTTTGATCACCCCTCGTAATTGCTTTTTTGATAAAATCAACGATATAGTTGAAATTGTGTCGATATACTAAAAATAGAACTCAATAAACCATTCTACATTGTAGAATTGATAAATACCTTCAATTTTATTTCCCCCCAAATTAGAAACATTAATTAGAATATAAATGTACCAGGAAAACAGAGAATCTTTTATTTTTGGTTCGTTGTTTTCTTCCGGCTTTTTCACAAGAGTTCGTGTCAAATATAAACATTTTCATGATTGTCCTAAAAACTATTACCTTATTACGTTCTAAAATGAAATAAAAACCATTATTTTGATATAATCAGAAAAGTTTATTCATTTCAGAAATACTTTAAAGATAATTCTGATTCACATGTTTCTTTTCTTTGATCTGTTACATGACAAAACCTGAAGTTTTATGAATTAAAATGAAAATATATTATAATAGTGGTTTTCAACAATCAAAAAGCAATTTTGTATACAAGATACGTGATAACTAAAGTTTATATCTTACATGACTTTTTCGGTTAACAGTATGATTTTAAAAAATACATGTAAAGTTATAACACTTTTATTTACAATTTCATTTTCAAAAACAATATTATGCAACCGTTTAAAAAGGATTAAAGATAACGCACAGTAATCGACCTCATAAAAAATCAAACTGTACAAAACTGTAAACAGGGCATAAAACAGAGACTCTGGAAATTCAAGATTGTGATCAGGTGACCAGAGGGATAGGTATTCCCTGCTAACCGGTCACACCCGCGGTGAGACATGTTTTAATATAGTAGATAAAACATTGCAAATGCTAGTCATTTCGAAATATAGTCCTTCAGTACAAAAACAAAGGTCTAACAATCGGTATGAAACAAAATACGATCAAGTAATGGGTTATATTTGCTAATAAGTGCATTATACGTAAGGATCAGAGAATAAACGAAACACTATATTAGTATAGGTTGTTTCTGGGAGAAAAAATAAATCTATATTTAGGGTTTTATTTTATCCTTCTTCTTTTTGATAAAAAAAATTATTTGGCATTTTAACTCAAGTATGCAAAGATACAGTTACGTACTCAGTATATAAATATTTATAATTGTTTTGTTATGTTGTACATTCAGTATCTTAAATTTATGCCAATTTTATTATAGAGATAGAAAAAACATTGATTTCGAATCCAACCCTCTACCGGTTTGTCTTTTATATCTCCGGTGGTCGAGTGTTTCTTTATAACGTAATTGCTACTGCTCAATTGACAGTTGAATATGCTTTGTTTCATAAGGATGTATTATGTTACTGTTACTTTAACAAAAAGTAAGCTAGCCTTAAGGATAAAGATACGTATCAATAAACTGTGAAATATTTCCTCATACTATTGTATCACAAATCACGAATTATCACGGGTAAAGCAGATTGTAATACGTCCTTGTTTGAAAAAAAAGACAAATATTTTCTTTTTCCAATCTAGAATAAAAACAAACAAAAAACAAGGAAATGTCGTTTGTTTACCTTTTAAACGGAAAATAATAATTTATTGATATTACCATCGGTATTTTCATGTTGTATGCATGCAAAGTCAGTCTTTGGTTTTATGTAAATAAATAAGACTAGTTTACCAACACATACATATTTTTCTCTATATATGCAAGTCCTTATGTCTTCGAGTAGCAAGGTATTTATGTAATTAACACATAAAAAATGGTATACTTTAGAAAAAAAAACAACAAATTTTTTACCAGTCTAAAAATAACGATTATATATGATAGTAAATTCTGATTATAATAGGGTGAGTTTACGAATAATGTTTCTTGTCACCCAATTTTTTCCATTACTAAGTAACTTTGATTTCATTCCATGTTTTTTCCCAATAGTATAATGTTTATTTGACAACATGAACAACCAGTTTTATTCTCCAATCAGGCTTAGTTCACTTGCAATTAGAAAACGGACAAACTTATTTTTGTGAGAAATGTCACTCATTCAATTTACCACAAATATGTTTTATCAGATGATTAATTTATTGTCAAAGATTGATAAACAAAAAATGGCTGAATAAATGAAAATAAATTTGCAAAGATAGGGGTTAAACCACCGATCAAGAAAAATACACGTAACATGGACCTATTACAAAAATAAACTTTAAAAAGAGGCAGCATAAGTTATATTGCACACGGATGATTATCACAGGTAGAAGAAATATAAAGCTCAAAACCCCTCTTTTTTAGTACTCCTATAAGCACTTATCACGCTGATGGAATTAAATATTAGAGAGAAATTAATAATATTTGACTGTCACATGTAGAGACTATCATAATGCACTGTACAGTTCAAAACATTTACTAGCACTGACAGAAAAGAAAAACTGAACAACAAGGAAAGCAACATAGAAAGCAATTATACATATGCTTGGCACACATATGGACATTCACAGAACATATAAAATAATAATCATAGAAAATAAAAATAAATAGATAATAAATAAAACAAAACCAGACACACACAAATAGTTCAAATCACCACAAAAGAACATTAAGGAAGGCTTCTCAGACATAGGCAGCATGGAGTGGTATTAACATAAACTACAGTAACATTTCTGATACCCACACCAGGTATATATATATATATATATATATATATATATATATATATATATATATATATATATATATATATATATATATATATATATATATATATATATATATATATATATTGTTCTTGAATAAATTAAGGGATGTTGTGAGTGTTTCGAATATCATTAGGAAGAGTATTCCATGTCCTTGCTGCCTCATATCTGAAAGAACATTTTCCATACCTTGTAGTTTTGGGTCTAGAAATTTCTGTGGCTTTTGAATACCTAAAATTATATGTTTTCTTTAACTTTAACCAGATCTGGGAGAAAGAGTGGGCTCTTTTTGTTGATGATTTTAAATATTTCTAATGCCAGTAATCTCATTCATCTGGTCTTTAGGGAGGGTGATTTTGATCTTTCCAATAGTTTTCCATATAAACTTTCACAGTCATTAAAAATAAAACGCAGCGCTCTTAACTGAATTTTCTCAATTTTTTGAGTATATTTCTCACTACAAAAGTGCCAAGTCAGTGAACAATAACTAAACTTTGACATAATAAAACTATGGTATATAGTAAGCTTTCACAATCTATTCAGATATTTCCCAATCAGTTTTAAAACATTTAATTCTTGCCGCCTCCTTATACACATCTCTGAAATATGAGTGTTAATATTTAATTGAAAATCAATCGTAATTCCTAAAAGTTTAACTTTATTTTCACATTCGATGATAACATTTTCGAGGTCAAAAGAGATTTGTTATTTTTGCGTTTTTGCCCCAATTGCGATTGCTTGGAACTTTTCAGGATTTGCCTTCATTTTATTATTTGAGAACTATTTAATAAGAGATAGACTGTACTCCTGTAAAGAGTTTATAACATTTTGTAAAGTTTTCTGAGATTTTGCTAGGGAATTGTCGTCTGCATAATTATAGAGGGTGCAGTTTTTAACAAAAAAGAACAGGTTATAAATGAAAACATAAAAAAATACAGGTCCAAGAATGGATCCTTGCGTAACACCTTTCAGAATATCCAACATTTCACTTAAATGGGAACCAATCTTAACACAGTTTCCTATTTGATAGATAGCTTTTTAACAAATCTGATGCTTGGACAGGCCATATGCTTTTAGTTTTAAGAGGAGCAGATCATGAGGAAGGCAGTCAAAAGCCTTTGATTAATCCATCAAAATCGCAGCTGAGTATTCATTGTTATCAAGAAACTTGCATAAATAAAGCAAAGGACTTTGATTCCAGTGAAAACAATCTAAGACGTATTTAAAATTAAAACATATTCTGCAAATATTCATATGCATATTCATACAAAAACCCATTTTAATGTTAAAAAATTAAGAAAAATAGATGGTTTTGAAAGAAATGCTCAAACGAGCTTAAAAGTCAATTTAAGTTATAGAACAATGTATGCCTATATAACATTCAATGTTCAAGTTTTGATTAATTGTGTACAAATCTTCCTCCTTTTGAGTTACTGCAAACAAAAAGTGCTATTTCTAATTGAAGACCAATGTTCATATAGATAACAATGACACACTCCTTACTTTTTGTTTGTGCAAAAATATCAGACCCAAGCACCATCATATCTACAAAAAAGATGCAGAAATTTACACATGTTTGTCGAAAAAGTTTTGAAATTTTCAATTGCAAAGTTTAACTGATGATTGAACATACACATTGGGAGGTTTCGAGGGCTCTGTAGAGTTTTTCTGGACAGAAGCATACTGATTGTCAACAGGGTCTGCATAGGTTACATTTTCAGATTCACTCTTCTCGGTGTTCTGGCATCTATTTAATAAGTGGATGTAGAAGGAAACAAACATCAATTATATTGTTTAAATATTATAAATCTTCGTTGACTTCGACAATTTCATGTAGTCATATCATTGCAGAGAAGTTAAATCAGCCAATGTCTTCTAAAGTGAATTGTGATAATAACAAAAACAAGAAAATTCAGTAAGTTACGTGAACAAAAATCAAAAGTATAGGAACTGAGGCACCCAGACTTTATTATTTACAATAAAACATGCACCGAATTGCAATGTACACAATAAATATATCAGCATTCATTTTTCGATTAAATTTGCAGGTCAATTAAAGCAGTTAATTAAAAATAACAATAATGCTTATGCTTAAAATTCAGTTAAATAACAAGTTGTCACTTTTCGATGATCTCAGAAAGACCTATAAGGTGAGGGATATAAGTAAAAGTCAATCCTCTCTAACTTTTTTTACCTTAGAATTGAAAAAAAAATAATTAAAAGGCGAAATTTTCAGATATTTTATTACAAACCTCTTACATTATCATAAAGTTTCATATTCTCCTTCGATTCATTTTTTGCACTTAATTGAATGCGTTTTACAAAATCATGTTATATGAGATACAAAGAAAATAAAAGAGATTGGAAGATTAAGGTAGTAGAAAGACCAGATCGCCTGTAGATTTAATGCAAAAAAGTTCATTGTGAGTTACTAGAAATGCAATTTATGCGAGCACAAGTAAATGCATCATGCATGCATGTGCCATTATGATTATAAATGTATACATATTTACAGTTTAGTCACATCCTTTGGGTCTGAATATCCATCAAAGTCGTAATCATTGGTTTTTGACTTGGAATGGTCACTGTTAAGGAGTGTATTGAATATATATATATATATAAAATATATATATATATATATATATATATATATATATATATATATATATATATATATATATATATATATATATATAAATTAAATAATAAATAAAAAAAGATATTACAATTTCAATGCAATTCATAAATGTTCCCGTAAAAAGAAACTACATGTATATACATGTAAAAAGATGCTCACTAGATAAAAACAACTTATTTTTTTGTCAACAATAATTCAGAAGTGAAACAAAGCAATAAATAGATCAGATCATGATCACACAATGTATGCACTGGTGTCAGGTGACACACTTTGTTTGTAATTTAAGTCACATTATTTCAATTGTATGTGAAGGGAACAAAATTTTACCCTGCAAGTTGTAATCAAACTTATACCCATGGCTCTAAGGTCATTGTTTACAAACTCATTTTTAAGAAGGATTTTCGCATTTCCCCTTTTCGTGATCAAACAAAGAAGCACACGGCGGGTGTGACCAGTTGTCATGAGATGCTTTTTAATAATTATCCTTCTTCGTATATCTGATCTAATCTCTGATGATTTGTTATTTGCTCCGATCTCAAATACATGTAGAGTTGTTTTAATGGACTTTTGAATTTGATTACTGTTCGTTATATCTATTTTAAATTATTTTTATATAAATATTAAAAGACACCAAAAACTGCAAAATTGTGCTGACTATTGAAACTTAATGTGTGTTAGCATGCATTTCTTTAGTATGAATTGTGAATTTTCAACCTACCTAGATTTTAAAGCGCCATTGAAGTTGATAGAACTATTGTTGAGTCTATTGCGTCTTACACCCACAATTGTTGTCACCATGAACAATAAAGTCAAGAAAATAAATACAATTGTGACAAAAAACCAATGGTTAACTTTGCAGTCGGCTATTCCATTTACTACTGAGCAGATTTCCGATGTTTGACACTGGATTTTGTCACAGGTTGCTGGTAACGTTTCGACGACACCTATTTGTTCTTCATTGACTTTAAGGGAAACATTTGATGATATCTCCCGCATTTCTTTATCCACTACATTTGAGACAAAACACGAATAAATTCCACTGTCGTTGAAAATCATATTTTTAAGGATAAGTGTTCTGTTGTCCGGAGTGAGAGAGTGTCTTTTGTCAATAAAAACGTTGCTAGAATTAAATTTCCATTTGAAAGTTGGTGTTGGATTTCCATCGGAAATACAAGTGAGATTAACATTTGCTCCAGTACGTAAATCCTGATCAGAAGACGGACTTTCAATTGTTACATTGTAGGGGCCATCTAAAAATAATGATTAATATGAATTAAAGAATTTGACGATTTAATACATTATGATTTACGTCATGTATCGGTCAAATAGTTGATGTCAATGAAAATTAATGTTAAAACAGTATTATATATGACTAAGCAAAAAGTGTCATATCCACATTCAATGAAAATTCGAGTAAATAAGTAGTATGTACAAATGATATGTAAAGCCTTTCCAATATTATGAAAGATCAATAAAATGTTCATTATAATATAATTTTACAATGCAAGCACTTACACTGAACATCAATTGCTTCTGTGTCTTTATGAGGAGCAGGTTCTTGTGTTTGTCTATTTTGTGAAATACATCTGAAAATCGCACCGTTGTCATCCCGGGAAACTCTGTAAGTTATGTTGAAGTTTGCAATCGCCGTGCAATTATCAGTCTTTTCATTTACTTCACTTGACCGATTCAAAAGAACCAGTTGATTTGACAACTTATTTAGCTTCCATATAGCAACAAATCCACCAGGGTTTCCAACATTTGCAGAACAAGACAAAAATACTGCGTCCTTTTCTTTCAGCGTGTCATTTTTGTATAACTCGAAATTTGTTGGCTGCTCTGCTCCCACTGGAAAAAAAAAGATTCTATAAGCAGGCACATTTAATTAAATTTTACGTGGGTCGTTCAATAAGAATTGCAATAAAAGTTTATCAGAATAAATATGTAAAAGTTTTTAATTATATTTTTTTCACAGTTGAAAAGTTTTATCATGATCCCCGGATCACAAAAAAATCCAGGATTTTTTTCCCGACTGTCCTAAAAAAGAAAATCACGTTAAAGTAAGCATGGTCAATACTGTTTATACAGGATATCTTCCAAAATGTTCAAAATGAGAGTGTTTATGTGAAAGCTGCTTCACATAAATAGCCAAAGACCTCATGTAAAAGATATGATTTTTCTTTCAAACTAGAAACACGAGTTACACTTAAAAAGTTATTTTCAAATGAACTTTTTGACCATTTTCCCCTTTTTAAGGATAATGGCGTGTCCTTTCATGGCAAAGTTCTAAAGATGGCTCAAAACTTTAACGTTCCATTCAGACGGAAAAATTTACCACTTCAAGTCTCTTCATTGTATTTAATTAAATCGTCAAATCAGCAAAACCCTGTTGCAGACGGTGGGATGTTCTCAAACATTTTGAGTAATATGCTTGTCATAATGAAAGACTTGTTGTTCAATGATTAAAACGCAAAGAATTCACTTCAATGAAAAAATATCGCAACTTCAATGTGCATTTACAGAGTCTTAAGTTTTATGAATATAAAACCAGCGTCTGGACTTCCAAGTATGACTTGCACAGAGATTGCCAAGATAAACACTAGCTGAATAGTAATTACAGTTATATATCCTTGATGTGTTTTATTACCTTGTAAAAAGACTGTTGTTTCATTTCTAGCTTGTTTTGCAATAACTCCATCTATGTACTTCACAAGACATTGGTACTGTCCATCATCCTCACACATGACGTCATTGATTACCAGAACAAAACTCGTAGAACCGTTAATTGGATTGATGAGATTAGATCTATTGCTCAAGTAAACCCCATCAATGGCAAAATACGCACGACCTTCACCGAATTCTGCCAAGTCCTTGTAAACGCCATCAAATAACTTTTTCCATATCATTGTTCTTACAGAAATATCTGTTGGGTATGTACAATTCAAAATAATTGGTGTATTTGAACCGAGTGTCACATTAAGCTCTGGTTGTGTTGTCACGGTTATTGAGTTGACACCTAAAATAACAAGCCTTTATACATGTACATGAGGTTATTTTCTCCTAAAATAGTTAAATTTTTTACCTTTTTTTTTCTTTTTTGGAATAATGACCTTTGGATATATGCGATTATTGCTTTTATTGATCTAATACATACCTTATATATTCTCTACATTTAAAAATTATAATATAATTAAGTAGTGGGAAACATGTTATTCTTTTCATTTACAAGTACATGTACTTTAATCACACATTTTTGTGTCACACTGTAAATGATATACGTTTGATGTTACTTGCAACATCAATTTTATAAAATATATACCATAATTACCGACGTCGTGTTCTCTTAACTTTACCTTTGATAAACCAGAAGTGAAAAGGAACTTAGATAGATTACACGATCAATACGTACTGGTTCCTGCCGACAAAGCAGGTAACAACATCGTCTTCGTTTGTAAGGCTCATTATATAAATTGCATTTTAGAAGAACTTTGATTTAATTCTACAAGTGGTAATCCTACTTATACTCATACTTCCCTTTCTAAGGAAGAAATTCTTCAAAATCACCTGTCCGTTTTGAATACTTTCAATATTCCACAGAGCCAAAACGAATTTGAACTACGTATACCTTATACATATTTGATTCCAAAACTTCATAAGAATCCTTACAAACAAAGATACATTGAAAGTTCCAGTAAATGTTCAACCAAGCCTCTTTCGTTACTCCTCACTAAAATATTGACAGTAGTGATGGAAAAACTTCGAGTACTGTGCAACTATATGGTGTGAATCAGATGTGGATACTAAAAATTCTAAAGAACATTTGGACACTTTGAAATCACAAGATTTTACAAAAATCAACAGCTTAAAAACTTACGTTTTTTCAACTTTATACACAACAATTCCCCACGACAAATTAAAATCCAGGCTTTTTGATATCATTGACAGCTGCTTCTTCAATAAAAATGGAACTCGTAAATTTACTTACCTCGTCATTGGTCATTTGCAAAATTATGTTGTTAAAAAAGATTCTGATTGCACACATAAGTACTCTGAAGTTGACATCAAGAAGATGCTTGAGTTTCTGATTGACAACATCTATGTGGTTTTTGGAGACCAGGTATTCCAACAGTCTATTGGACTTTCCATTGGTACAAATTGCGCTCCGTTATGAGCAGACTTATTTTTATATTCATATGAAGCAGAATTTATGCAAACAACCAAGCTATATGATTAACGTGATGACTTTAACTTTTCTATCGTCAACTTCCCTTACTTATGCAGCAATATACCTTCATCACCTGCATACGGAGTATATATATCTCAGTTGATTCGATATGCAAGGGCATGCTCTACGTATGAACAATTTCTAAAACGAGGTAAATTATTGACAAGCAAGTTAACGAAACAAGAATATCAGCAGTCTCGTTTAAAGTCATCATTTCGTAAGTTCTATGGTCGATACAATGACCTTGTCAGCAAATACAGTTTATCATTGAGTCAAATGCTGACTGACGTTTCTCATACCAATTGTTAGTCCATTATTTTTACACTGAATTGACGACGGATTTTTTCCGTCATTTCCTGATCATGACAAGGAGCATACGGCGGATGTGACCGATCGACAGGGGATGCTCACTCCTCCATGGCACCTGATCCAACCTCTGATGTTTCGGGAGTCCGTGTTTGCTCTGCTCTAACTTTGTATTGTTTTATGGACTTTGAGATTGAATACTGTTCGTTATCTCCATATCCCTTTACCAACATTTGAATACAATGCATAAAGCCGATAAACAGAATATTTTTGAACAGTGGAGAGGGGAGTTTGTGCTAATGAGTATATTGACTACTAGTATTTATTATACATGCGAGTCTTGATGTAAACAAGCTAATTCAGAGAATAGGTGTCGCTCGCTTGGGAAAAAAGAAGACCATGCTCAGTTCGTGAAAGGGGGGGGGGGTGTTCGGATCCCCCTGAAGAATTACTGAATTTGTAGAATTATCAAATGTATACATGTATATTGAAGTAAATAAAATAAGCCGATATGGAAATAAAAATTTATTCTTTAGTATGTGTTTAGAAGCTTCTTTTGTCAAAATTTTACACAATGCATGGTGTTTAATTTGGCCTTTAGTAAACAGTGTTAATATAATTACATGTAATAAGAATGAAAAGTCCGCCGACAACCTGTATTATACGTAATAACTCTCCACATGCCCCTGTGCTAAAAATAGAGACATTTTATACAGTCAATAATATCATATATTTTAATCATATGTTGACGGTGCGACCGTTAGAGCGAGCTCAAACTCTTCCATTGTTTAATTTAGATTGGGCTCGTCAAACCGCACGTGACAATTTCTGCGTCTACACTCTGACGCCACATGACGTCGTATGTAAGTTGTAAATACCAAGAAAAAAAACTTGAACAGTGCTGAAAGTTAACGAAGAACGTTTCGTTAACTATTTATCTTCAATATGTATCCATTAAATGAAGGCGAGTGAACTTTTTGTTGAACATTTGCCGTTATTCTCTCGAGATCGTAGCTAAAACAAGTGATGCATTGTGGGTTCAAATTACTGCATCAAAAATTCTATTGAATGAATGCGCAGTAGTCCGAATTTTCTCTTCACACAGGCGTTGCTTTAAGAGCTCGCAGTGACGAGCATCGCTTCGCGACGCTCGCTGCGCTCGCTATAAAATCGATGACTTTATTTTTACGGGAAAAGGTATTAATTTTGGTCGGGATCGACCTGCGGCATTGGGAATTATATAAATCGGAAAGCTCGGGATCAACATTCTTTTCAACGACTTGCTGGACACAGAGTAGGTTAAATTTTTCTATTGTAACGTGCAAGGGGGTCACTACTTGTGAAACCCAGCGGGCTCGTACCCGTGATAGAATTGGATAGCCCTGAGATGCTGCATATATGTACAATGCGTAGTCTTTATCACTTGGTACTGCGTAAATAAGGTCTTTACTGGTAGCAAACAAGTGACACTGGCAGGGAAGTCCACACACCAGCGCACTTCCACAACAGACAAGCAGGGATGACCGCACACTTGCCCTTACACAGTGACAAGCAGGGATGACCGCACACCTGACACTAAGACACGGTTCTAGACTAGAGACACTGGCAGGGATGTCCGCACACCAATGCTCTACCACAAGATGCAGGCAGGGATGTCCATACACCTGATCTTGCGCAGCAACAAGTAGGGATGTCCGCACACTTGCTACGAACAGACGCTAATTACAAAGCAAGGATGACCACACACTCTGTCAAGCAATAAGCAGGGATGACCACACGCTTACTACTTATAACAGAACAACATTAGCAGGGAAGTCCGCACACTTATATGTACCTTCACAGGTTTGTTAAGTTTTACCTCTAGAACCATCCTCAAGTGATCGCCAGTAAAAACCCTACATATCCTAACACCATATAAAATACTTGGTCATTATTTATTTACAAACGAATTAAAAGACTAATGAAGCATTCAATTAACTTCAATTCAAATTTAACACTAATTAATTATTTATATTTAATACTGTAACATATAATAAGTAATTGATAACGACAAGGACGACGTAACTTTCGCTTTAATGAAAACAGCTTTCCGCTTCTTCATAATATTTGTAAGAATATTTTTGCATCGGTCTTAAATATATTTAAAATTTTGTAAATGGATAATAAAGTTGAATGTTCTTAATGTTATTTTAATCCAGCGTATATATTTTCTCGGGATTGAGCTGGATTTAACGATTTTTAAGTGACACAACAGCCATATTTGAATGCTAGTATATTGTTTCTAATTTTACTTCCTACAAATTCATGAAATTAGTTTGTCTTATGTGAATTAAAGATAGTAATTTTATGTTTATTATTTACTCTAAATGTCACCAAAAGATAAGAGTAAGAAAAGACGTCACGATGGGAAAGCACCAATGTCAAAAAGGTCAAGGTAAGAGCGATCAGCGGTAGCCGTTGACGATAATACTACGGTACAGGAGCCAGGTCCTTCAGCAAGCATTGCCTCCCAAGAGAATGTAGTTGTTGCCAGAAAGTCGAAATCGCTCTCAGCACCTGTACCTGCTTTGGCCATTGAATCTCAATCAGGTACAAGCATTAATTATGAGAATTAATATCACTGTAGATAGCAGTCATTCACCATTGGCTAGCAATGTTCCTAACTGGTTAAAGTATTAAATTATTAGTTCAGAATACAGAGATTAGTTTGTGGCTTGATAACACTTCCCTGACAGAATCTTCAGAGAAAAAAAAATTTAATGAAAAAGGGGAGTTGGTCAAAAGAGAGGTTGTTAAACCTAGCAATAAGATTCAAAATATCAGTGGATGGACAGATGCATTCTTAGTATATGCTAACATTTATGCTTCAGCCCACCCAGAATCTTATCAGGGTCTGCTGAAATATTTACATGAGGCCAAGATAAATAGTGTGTTTCCTATTCCACCCTGAGAAAAAATAGGGTAGGTAGGTAGGAAAAACATTTTATTTTATTTAAACATTTTATTGGCAAGCACGCTGCCATTTTCCTCTATAGAAAAAAACATTCAAAATATTTCTGATTAATGTGCCTATGATAAGCATTTTTCAAACAGGGAAGTGATTCAGATTAAGATTTCTAATAGTAAAACTAGAATAATTAATTAGGGTTTTCATATTGAATTGTAACTATAGGACATCTGGCATATTTATCAGGAAAGTTAAAGGCAATTCTGTCCTAAACTTCCTAAAATTATAGGCCAATTAATAGTGTCGGGTCCGTTCAACACTTATCATTTTAACAAGCCAAGTTATAGTTGAAAATATACAATTCCTTTTAAAATTCTTTCATCGCATGCTTAAATGAAGTCAGGTAAATGAGCTTCTTAAAATACTGAACAAGTGTAACTCAATTGGTTTCATTTAATTTTTTTTTAAATAACATTATTTTAAGTCATTTTTACCGGATTCTCGTTGCCGGATAGTAAAGGGAAATTGGAAAAATAAT